TGTATGACTGTATGTATGGTGTAAGATTGATGTGGGTTCACCGGTGTTTCCCGGCCCGGGTCTTTTCCAGTTGGTGACCTGGCAACGTTTGTAAGAGCATTGTTGGTACTGACACCTTCACGCGTCCTGCTGCTGGACCATTCTGGGATTGTTTAAATTTAAAACTAATAGTGATGGTGTCCTATGTTAAAGGTCCCCTTTCCTCCGCCCTTTGAAAGCCATAGGGTATTCCTAATATTTGTCATTCTCTCTGTAGGCGTGTATTTGTGTGTGCATGAGCTGAATTGTACTTACTGGGACAGAGCTCTAGCTCTTAGCCTCTCTTAAAATTCAGTCCTCTAGTCTACCGGTTCCTAGACTCTTTCACGGAGGATCGAGCCTTCACCACCTATGTGCTTCACATAATATTGTAAATCCTCACCTCTTACACAGTAGAAAATACTTCTGAATACTGTATGGGTAACCTAAATGTACTTGTGTGTGTGCTGCTGCTCCAGAATGCAGCGTCATTATTAATCGAAGTTCCTTCAGGGAAGAGGGGCGTGCCGTGATGTTGATTAAGGGCTCTTGAACGCTGTATAACCCATCTGAGTTTAGCGTTTTTCTATTAATAATACAATTAACAATAATAACAATAATACGTATTGATTGCCTTCATTAGTGTAAGCCATTTATTAATGTTCTTGTGGGTCAGCTGGTGATTGACTCATTCCTCAAGCAAGCAGTCAGCTCACACATTGAGGTCCTTGGCTCGATCGCCGGTACAGGTGAAAACACTGGGGGGTATTTCCTTAAGACACCTGCTGTCTCCGTTCACCTAGTAGTAAGTAGGTACTTGGGTATTTGCCGACTACTGTGGATCACATCCTGCATAACCAGGATGCAATCCACATCAGTGACATACTATAGTATGTCAGCTATGGTCTGTATAAGTTGTATCATGTACCTGTAGAAATAAAGATTATTATTATTATTATTATTATTATTATTATTATTATTATATTATTATTATTATTATTATTAACTAAAGTAAATTCTTAGGTTTGTTTAATTAAGGTATTTTATATTACGTAAATTTTAGCAATATTAGGTTAGGCTGCAACGCTTTTCTGATACAAAAGAAAAATTGACGTATAAACGAAAATATTGTTTTATTGTAACTGGGAAATGTAAGGAATTTTCTGTGAAGATGGAACAAGCAATTTGCCAACAACGCTGTAGGGACAATTTAGGTAGGTTATGCAAAGTATATGCCGACACCAGACGTCTGACTCGTCTAGGTGGCATAATTTATTTGCTATGCACAGTACGATTGCAGAGTACCCCAATGTAACACGTTAATTTGCAGAACACGCTTAGCTATGCACAGTACGTTTGCAGAATACGCATACAAGCAAAGCCGACAGTTAATTTAACAGTTAATTTATCTAAATCTTCCTTTGGCCAGGCCACTGTCACTTTTCTAGGCCATGAAGTAGGTAGTGGTAAAGTTGCACCTAAACTTGCTAAAGTTCTTTCTATTAAAGATTATCCAGTTCCTCATGATAGGAAGTCTCTTCAACGTTTCCTAGGCATGATAGGATTTTACAGAAGATTCTGTAAGAATTTCTCAGATATTGTATCCCCTCTTACCTCTCTTACCAGTCACAAAGTTCCCTTTAATTGGACCTCAGACTGTAACACTGCTTTTAATAAAGCAAAAAGATTATTGTGTACTGCACCCATTCTCTTGTCTCCAGACTTCTCCAAACCTCATTCTTGATAATCATTATCCTCCCGGACAGGCCACTCATATATTACAAAAAAAGTAATTTTTAAATATGGTAAGTTTTACTCCTTTTGTAATAAAGAGTTCGGGATACATAAATACACACATTAAAATCCATTAATCTTTAATATAATATAAAAAATCAACTTTCTTTGGTCTAGAGGTATTTGAACTAACATCTGATAATATATACATGTTACAATAATAAATTATAATTAGCATTTTACTAAAATAATAAATAATAATTCGTGACCCTACACAGGGTACAACTCTCTTGACACTCCTGTGTCACTATATATTATCTTTTATGCTAAAATAATAAATTAAGTAACATTTAAAATAATAAATTACATTCAACTGTTTCTCACGACACTTATCCGAGTTGTGACGCTCTTTCTCCACCGTGTCACTTGACACCCTTTTCTCCGTGTAATACACACACTTTCGCAACCGTGTCACACTTGACACCCTTGTCTCTGCGTCACACTACCCGCATAGCGTCTTTGTCGAGGCCAGTCACATGACCTATTCAGTGTACACTACAACCAGGCCATCTTCAGTGTCACACGGCACCCTTTTCGTCTCAGTGTTCCACTACGGTCCTGTGCATATCTCAGTGTTCCCACTCCATCATACTTGCTTAAGTGTCACACTACGGACCTAGCCCAGTTCAGTGTAACACTCCAACCTTATCTTCATGTAATGTCCCACCAAACAGCATCCGATGACTCCGGCCCACAGTTGACAAGCGTAGGCGGTGAGTCCGCAGACATCACCGGTAGTCCAGTAAATCCTCTCCAAGCCGGTTGACACACCGCTAGCCGAACACCATGCTGCAAGCTCACTGAATGCGGCCGTCAAGTAACTGAGGCCAACAGACTCAGTGAGCTGCGGTGAGCGGTTCTTCTAACGCCAGTAGATGGGTACGATTAGGTGTTCAGGTACCTACTGCGTAGATGTGTACCGTGAGGTGCTCAGGTACTTAATTTGTTTCTAAAACCAGTAGATGTGTACGATTAGGTGGTCAGGTACCTACTGCTTAGATGCACACCCTGAGGAGTTCAGGTACTTAATGCTTACAGCGTACCGTGAGGTGCTCAGGTACACAATGTTGCTGAAGCCAGTAGACTGTACCCTTAGGTGTTCAGGTACCTACTGCTTAGGTGCGTACCGAGAGGCGCTCAGGTACACAATGTTGCTGAAGCCAGTAGACGTGTACCCTTAGGTGGTCAGGTACCTACTGCTTAGGTGCGTACCCTGAGGTGTTCAGGTACATAATGCTCTAAGGCCGGCTCAGCAGTCCCCACAATGGGTTTGATGACGTACCCAGTGGTACTGCCGGCCGGCAGGTTAACTATTTAACCGCTAGTTTGGCAGGGGGCCGCAACAGGCTGCAATGCTTTTCTGATACAAAAGAAAAATTGACGTATAAACGAAAATATTGTTTTATTGTAACTGGGAAATGTAAGGAATTTTCTGTGAAGATTATGACAGTTGTGATTACAAATAGTAACTGGACCGTGATTGTACATGGTAACTATTGTCCATGTCTGTGAACCGTACTTGCCTGTAGACCATAAATGGACATTAACATCATCTGTGGTCATATCCCGTGATTGATCTGTTGCCTGCACCATGGCCGAATCAACCACCAAGTGAACTGACGGTGATTTCCAAATGTAAACTGTGGCTGTATTGTCACTACTGTTTACACATTTTTAGCTGCAGGTGGACTCCCCCCCTTTCAAGGTGGAGGAAAGATACCATGATGCTGATGAAGGGATCTTGATCCAAGGAATTTAAGCTATCCTTTTTGAACAAACTTGATTACCTCTCATTCAGGCGCTGTATTGACTCCAAATTTGGTTTAGCTCTTCTCCAGGAATATATAATAGTAATTATGATCATAACACCACACAAAATTTAGAGATTTTTCCACTCTTATTATTAATAGGAGTGGAGGATAGCTCAAATTCCCTGGATCAAGAGCCCTTCGCCGGCATCAAGGCACCTCAAAGAGTTTACCACTCTTTTGATGCAATTTTGGCTATATCAGTACACTCTAAGACCCCTCAGCTAATGTAACATTTTTTTGAGGTGGCCATAGAAGTATTATTGTGCTACTTGCTGAAACACATCATACTGCTCATTATACAGGGGAGTCCCTCACTTTCACACTGGTTAATTTCCATCCTCTTTTGCCAACCTCTGAGATAAAAATAAACAGATTTAAACATTGCATTGAGCCTGCAAATAACCGTTTTCAAATGTACTCAAGTTTTCTAATGGGCTTACGGACGTCAATTTCAAACGATCTACTTCCTTACCAAATTAGATTAGATTGATTAAATTAAACTATCCTAAGTTTACGAATGGTTCAGTGTCAGTAGCCAACAATTCCTTGAACTGCCATCTTATTCCACACTAATTTTCCCTCGTACTTCATTTGTCTATTAAAATATGAATATCTTGTATGTCTTTTTAATATTCAAACACATGCGAAAGATGTGACAAACAATCTATAATGCTAAGTCTAAATAAGGATAATTCTGTATTAAATGATTTGAATACGGGAACCTGGGGGGGAGGCTGTATTTAGCATCGAAACATGTTAGTCCAGTTCGAAACTTTTTTTTTTAAAAATATGTGCTAGTGTTTTGGGCAAGCGTCTTTTTTTTTCAACCATTTATTACCCTAAATTTTCAAACTGGGAAGTATGATGCCTTTCATCTATTGAACATTTCCCCCTCAAGGGGGGGTCCTTTAGGCTGGTGAGGGCTCTTGATCTAGGGAAAATTTGGGTCTGTGCTCCAGTTCCCTGAATTGAGCCTAAATACCTTCTATCCCCCCCCACAGGCGCTGTATAATCCTAACGGGTTTAGCCTCCCCCATGATTATAATAATATTGAAGAGTTCACATACACAGTACAGGAGAGCCCTCGCTTATACAAAAAGGTTAGGTTCCGGGCTAGTGCAGTCAAGTTAAAATTACTGTAAGATGAATCATAGCTTCTTTTCACTTTCAAATGCATATAAAAGCCTGATAACATGTTTACACTATCATATATTTAAATGAGCAATATAGCTAGGCCTAAATAAAATTGCATTTACAGTACATACTTTAAAAATATTTTCGTCCTTAGCTTATAGTGAGTGGTGAATATAATTATGTAAGGAGTCTGCCACTTATCGAAATGCTGTAAAACGAAGTTCACATAATTATTTTCAACAGAAAACTCATCGTATAAAGCGAAAGTGAGCCTTGTGCTATCAGCCAAGTATTTTTGGGAACTGGTGTGGAAAGTAAGCAGAGATGACAGCGTGTAGGCGTGTGTGTGTGGTGGTGGGCATGGCGGTGGGCATCATACTGGGCTTAGCCACACTGCTCATTATGGTGGCAGTGATCAGGGCAGCCACACTAGAGGTAAGTAACGTTCACACTTACTGTCTATTCACTCTACTACCCACCTAACCAATAATGTTTGCTGAATTAATATAATGACTAAAATTATTACCACTCTTGTGACCTTGCAACACCTGCTGATAATAATAACCAGATAAGCACGAGGACTCCTAGAAACTAGCACTGGCGCACTTGACCTTTACGATAATGCAAGTAAGGTCCATTAAATTCCTTGTTTCTGGGGTTAATTCTTTGCTTTAGAAGTTTTCCATGTAGACTTCCCAATATCAAAACTAAGTAATTACTCGTATATAAATATATTTATAATATAGTAAAGTACCATCTGTAGAACTGACTGGGGTCCCCTCATCCTCAGAGAAGAGAATAAACGTGCTTCAGGAAAAACTCAGGATTCTCCCCGGAGCTGTTTAAGTATTTTCTTCTCATACCATCCCTATATAATGATATATGTTTAACTTTTTTTTCAATTATTTCAACCAAATATAATAAGTATCAAATTATTTTTACTTTAGTTTTTTCGATCGCAGGTTTTGATTTTTCACTTGTTTATAAATTACCTACGAGTTAACACTGAAATTGCTCGCTGGAAAGGTTCACTTGCGAGTGTATCAAAGATGGTGTGATCCTATTTATTGTGCAAGGCGCTAAACTCATGTGGGTCTTCCTATTGTTGGGGGAGTAGAGGCTCCATCCTCCGTCCGCAGATCGCGAGAGAAACGCCATCTTAACATCGGGACACTTCCCAGTGGCATTTAAGACGGCAAAGATGATTTTCATCGCAAAACCCAACAAAGACAACCGAAATCCCGAAAACTACAGGCCCATCTCCTTACTTGAGGTCACGGGCAAAGTCTTCGAGAAAATAATCTCAAACAGACTGAACTACTACATGGAATTCAACCACCTATTCACCGAAAAGCAGTTCGGCTTCAGGTCCCACCGCAGCACACAACATGCGATAAATATCAGCTTTGATGCCATGGCCAGCCTGAGGAAGCAAGGGAACCTGGCCCTGATCGCAACTAGGGACGTACACAAGGCCTTCGACAGCCTGTGGCGCGATGGACTCATCTTCAAACTTACAGACCTCCCAGATCACAACTGGACCTTTCCTAGGCTCATATACAACTTCTTAACAGGTAGAAGAATCATTCCCACCTTCCACGGAACGGCAGCAACGCCCTTCACGCCGACAGCTGGCATACCACAAGGCTCTTGCCTCAGCCCTATACTCTTCAATATATGTGTTAACGACCTCCCCCAACCTGAACACAATGATACCATCATCACTCAATTTGCAGACGATGTTATCCATGTAGTTTCTTCAACCCCCATCTCTGGCGCAGACATAGGAGAGCAGCAGAGAAAATGAACGAAGAACTACAGAGAACAGCTACGTGGGAGAAAAAATGGAGAATCACAACCAACCTAGATAAAGTCCTCATCAGCACCATCGGTTGTTTAGCATCAACCATAGAAGACAAAGGGGGTATTTCCATCAGAGGTACATGAATCGCCATCAGAAATCCAAACAAGATCCTAGGGTATGAGATCAACAGATTACTCAACTCCACATCCCACATAACCAAAAAATTGAACCTAGCAGAAGCTCGCCTCGGTCAACTTTTCCGATTCAATGCAGCCCCCTCCCACATCCTCCCACATCAAGAAACACCTGTACAAGATGATGATCAGACCTCTGCTAGAATACCCTTGTGTACCCATGTCGCTAACAACTAAAACTAACATGCTAAAACTCCGAAGAGTCCAAAACAATGCCCTCCGCTTCATCACCGGCACCAGATTCAGAGACAGAATCAGGACTGAAGACCTGCACATGCAACAGAGAATCACTGCAATTAATGTCAGGCTTAACAAACTAAAGGAAAGACAACTATATGGCATGCAGGAACTCTATGTACCCGACAGAGAGAACCCACCCCAACCAACGAACACGACCGACTACACCACGAGCACCCCCTTCCCTTCCTTACAGATACCAAAGAATGACCCTCCAACAAAGAGTCCGACGCTTCACCCACAAGGAGAACTTCCCTCGACCAAGAATCCTGAGTGACCTCCGCAAAGAATTAGAAGAATGGATACCACCAGAACCATTCTACATCCAGTAACATGGATTAACGCTCCCCAATTTTGGGTGACCTACTTCTGTCAATCAACACCTTACAACCTTATAACATCTACAACCATCCTACAGCAGGACAGCGCTCCAGGAAGTGCTTAGTCAACCAACTCCAGGAAAGCAACCAACCTCCATCAAACTACCTGCAACTACCACCTGCAGCTACAGCCTTACGACCGACCTCTTGCACAAAAAAAGGCAATTGCAAACCGTATGCATCCTTCCAATTCAGTGGCACACCGGTATTCAGCTAGTATAGTGGTGTGCAGTTGACGGGCAGGAGGTATACCTGTCAGTAGTACCGGAGGCGGCTCAGTGGCTCATAGGGCAGAGTGGCTCATTCCTGAGTGGCTCATCCCGAAAAGGGCTGCAGCTGAGCGGCTCCTTTACACACCTATATGCTAATGACCTTTTTCACACCTATATGCTAATGACCTTAACCCTGCCCATGACCCCCACCCACGACCCCACCCACGACCCCACCCATGACCCCCACCCATGACCCACCCACGACCCACCCACGACCCCCACCCACGACCCCCACCCACGACCCCCACCCACGACCCCCCACCCACGACCCCCCACCCACGACCCCCCACCCATGACCCCCCACCCGCGCCCCCACGACCCCCCACCCGTGCCCTCGCACCCCTCGCACCCGCCCGCGCCCCTCGTGCCCGGCCGTCACGCCCGACCGCGCCTTCTGCTGCGCCTTCTGCAGCGTCGTCCGGATCCCCCCCGCGCCCCGAATTTTTTTCCGATTTTTTTCGAATTTTTTTTGAATTTCATTTTATTGTGCTCTCCACTTCCTCGAATCAAGTTTTTGGATTGCCCCTCCCACTTTCACCCCCACCCCAATTTTTTTCAAATTTTTTTTTCTCGATAATACAAAGACTCCAATTCCTCGAATCAAATTTTTCTCGAAATCAAAGTCTCCATCTCCTTGGATCAAGTTTTTCTCGATAATACAAAGACTCCAATTCCTTGGATCAAGTTTTTTGGATTCCCCCCCTCTGGGGGTAAGCATTCAAAAATGGACTCCCACTTCCACCCCAAAATATTCCTCCTCCATCTCCTTGGATTAAGGTTTTCTCGATAATACAAAGACTCCATCTCCTTGGATTAAGGTTTTCTCGATAATACAAAGACTCTACTTCCTTGGATCAAGTTTTTTTGGATTCCCCCGCCCACTTTCACCCCCATCCCAATTTTTTTTCTCGATAATACAAAGACTCCATCTATTTGGATCAAGTTTTTCTCGATAATACAAAGACTCCAATTCCTCGGATCAATTTTTTCTCGAAATCAAAGACTCCATCTCCTCGGATCAAGTTTTTGGATCCCCCCCCTCTCAGGGTAAGCATTCAAATGAACTCCTCCTATGGGGCATGGTACTTTCTCTTACTACAGGTGTAAACAAGTGTGACGTCACCCCACCTGTGTTTACTAGGCGGTCAGTGACGTCACGTGATGACCTCACACATACAGGCTAAATCTTGTCGACTTCCCCCTATGTCAGTGACGTCACGTGATGACCCCGCACACAAGCTGAATCTTGTCGAGCAGACAATAACTTAAAATGCAGGATAACACTATTTATTATACAACCAATGCATTTCATATACAACATAGGGAAATCATTTTCACTCTTAACCCAGGATAACCCAAATAATTTCACATTTTTTTTTCGTTAATACCCACAACAATCCACAATTTCTTCACAAAATACAACACAAGTCTAGACATTTTTCTCGTTTTTAACTATTTCATCAGAAAAAGTCACCACATCACTTATAAGCACTTTTCGATTAATTCACTAGTCACAATTTTACATATTACGAAGTTAATACGCACACACACCTCACTTTACTTTGAACACCTTCAAAACACTCTCATAAATCATTTGAATACTCACAAAAATACCTTTGAACATTTTCAAACAACACTGAAACACTTCCAAAATATCATTTTGAATACTCCCAAATAAGATTTGACAGCTCTAATTTATGTGCACTTACACATTTCATTAAATTACAACTCATCCCCCCAAACTCCTCCCCCAGTCTCCAGACTTCACAACATTATCACAAAAACTAACTCAAACACTTTACTTTGAACATCACCAAAAAAAACACATCAATTACCTTTAAATACCCCAAAAAAATCATTTCAAAACACCCCAAATCACCTCTAAAATACCCCCAAAAACCCCTTCAAAAATATTTTGCACATCATTTGAAACCTTCAAAAACCTTTGAAAACCCTAAAAAATTTGATACTCCCAAAATACCCCAGATTACTAAAAAACACCCTGAATACATCAAAACCCCCCAAAATCCCCAAAAACTAGATCAACACCCACACCCCACAAACCCACAACCCAAACACCCACACCCCAATCCCCACACCCCACTCCCCACAACCCAATCCCCACCCCCAATTTTTTCTCGTTTTAACTAATTTCATCAAAAAAGTCTCAAAAACAAAAAAATTTAATAAACCCCCTTTAAAAAACCTCAAAACACCATTTGGTACCCCCAAATTACCCACAAATCTACAAAAAACCCATAATCCTCAAAACACCCAAATACCATAAACTAAGATCAACACCCACCCAAAACCCCCAAAAACCCCAATCCCACTTTTCCCCAAAAACCCACATCCCCCACCCCACAATTTTTTCTCTTTTTAATTTAAATTTCATCAGAAAAGTACAAAACAACAACCCACAACTTATAGTCATTTTTCAAAATCTGTTGACAACAACACCCAAACCCCAAAAACCCCACAACCACAACCCCCAACCCACAATTTTTTTCGTTTTAAACCAATTTTTCAAAAAAAGTCGAACAACAAC